TCCGAGAGGAGGACGCTGGGCGAAGAGACCCGGCTCCGCAGTGCCCAGGCAGGACAGGCTGAGTCGGGGGGATGTTGGTGAGGAGGGAGTCAGGACTGAAGACTCCCTGGGCTGTGGGAAAACAGAGCTCCCAGATGAAGCAAAGAAAACTACGGAGCTCTTCGGTTTGCATCCCAAATAACAAGGAGTGATTTGTCAGTGTATGTGCCATGCAGTGCCTGGGACGGCAAGAGAGTCCTCAGGCTGCAACCTTGCTGGGATCGCGGTCCCCGGAGCCGCCAGCCGGACCTCTGCAGTGATCAGCCCAAGAAACCTACACCAGGTGTTCTACAGCGACTCAGGCCCCCTACTCGCAAAGCACCTCTGTGAGGTGCTTTCTGTGAGGTCCCCTGTCTTCACCCTGGAGCAGTGAACCTGTGACTATACTGTGTGGTTTCTTCACTTGAATTGTTAATAATATATCAAGCTAGAAAATAAGAGAAAGTTATTTTGACTCAAAGTCACAACTCTTATCTATTATCTTAGGTGTCTGCAACAGCAGTACACAAAAATTTCCTTTAGTGTTATATTGTAACCGACTTCCTTGTGGACACACATGTTATTGTCTTAATAGCGGTGTAATGTCCATGAAATTAATCAGTCGAGGCATCCAGCCGTTTGTTGGTTGTTAGGTTGCTGCCAAGTTGCTGCTGTTTTTCTGTTTGAAATGATGCTGTAATGGGGGTTGGGGATTTAGCTCAGTGGTAGAGCCCTTGCCTAGCAAGCGCAAGGCCCTGGGTTCGGTCCTCAGGCCCGGAAAAGAAAAAAAAAAAAAAAAAAAAAAAAAAAAAAGACAAAATGATGCTGTAATGAAAACTATAAATTTTGAAAATCCTGGGTTAAAGTAGTATGTCTTTCTACAGCTGTGCAATACAGCAAGCATTATTTCTGAAGCAATATAAAATCATACCATTTATGTATCAAAACTACTGAATAAGTCTATCCATTGTTTCCTTTATTGTGATAATTTACACATAGAAGTTGCTATTTTAACCATTTTGCAATGTGCAATACAGGGCATTAGCATATTTACACGATATGCAACTACTACCCTCTTTGAAAACTTTTCCATCACCCAAAACAGAAACTGCAGCCTCTAAAGACTCACTCTGTCTGTAAATTTGCATATTCTAGGTATATCCTTTGTGACTAGTTTGTTTCTCATAGTATAATATTTTCAAAATTCTAACATGTTCTAGCACATATTAAGACATTCTTTGTCATGGCTGAGTAGTATTGGTTATATGAATACACAGCAGTTTGGTTTGGTTTACTGTGCAACAAAACCTTTATTAACTTTTTTTTGTTCTTTTTTTTTTTTTCTGAGGCAGCATTTCCCCATAGTCCCAGCTGGCCTGGCACTCCCTATGTAGTCCAGGCTGACCTTGATCTCACAGAGATCTGTCTGCTTCCACCTCTCCAGTGCTGGGATTAAAGGCATGCACCACCACACCCAGCCTTTATTAACAGTTTTAACAGAGATTTGGCTATTACTGAAACTTGTAATTTCTAAACTTAAATTGGGACAAATGGCTGTAGTGCAGAGTAATACTATTGCTGCCCACTAGGAATATAGGCTGAAGAACTAATAGCCACCCCTTAGATTGAGGATGAGGTGCTGGGTTGGGTCTGGTTGCTGTATCAATAAAGAGTACATCTGTCTTCCAGCTACTTGCCTGCAAAGATGAGCCTCTGCTGGTTGGGGGATGCCCTCCTTATCCTGGATTTTGACCTTCACATTTTTGATGGTGTCATTGATCTCCACCTCCAGAGTGATGATCTTGCCATTTGGATCTTCATGAAAATTTGCATTTTGACGCATTAACAAATGTGATGAAGTAAAAAATTGCCAATCACATCAAAATACCCAGATGCCAAAGATAACCAACCAGAGAAAGCCACTTGTCACTAAACTGTACAGCATCTTGTTAATCTGGTCATCTGATAATAGACAAATGGATTGTACCTCTTAAAAATATTTACCTTAGCCAAAAAAAATTTTTTATCTGTATGAGTGTTTGTCTGCATGTGTATATGTATACCACAAGTGTGCCTGATGCCCACAGAGACAAGAAGATGGTGTCAGATCCCTTGGAACTATAGTTACAGGTGGCTGTAAGCTGCCATGTGAGTGCTGGGAACAGAATCCAGGTCCTGTGTAAGAGCAGAGACTGTTTTTAACAGCTCAGCCATCTCTCTAGGCCCTGTTCTGTCTTTTGACTATTGGGAATTAGGCTGTAGTGAGTATTGTTGTGAAAGTTTAAGTCTTGATTTAAGTCTTTGAAGTAGAATTATTGGTATGATCCTTCTGTGTAGCTTTTTGAGAACAAACAAATTATTCCACAGCACCTGCACCATTTTGCATTAACACCTGCAATATGGAGGATTCCAGGTTATCCACTCCCACCCACACTTTTTATCTTCTTACTGTCTCTTAAATATTTTATTATTTTAATTTTATGTGTATGAATGTATTGCCTGCATGTACGAAAAGTGAACCTGGTGTCACATAATGCCCACAGACACCAGAAGAGGGCTTCAGAACCCCTAGAATTGGAGTTACATCTGGTTGTGAGCCACCATGTGATGTTGGGAATCCAACCTGGGTTCTATGCAAGAGCAGCCAGTGCTCTTAACCACTGAGCCATCTCTCCAGCCCCTCTTATTGTCTTTAAAACATTTTATTTATTATTCTTATTTTATGAGTGTATTGCTTGCATGCATGTGTGCCGGTGTTGTGCAATACCTGCAGAAGTCAGAAGAGAGCAGCAGATCCCCTGGAACTGGAGTTATGGATGGTTGTTAACTGTCATTTGGATGCTGGGAATTGAACCTGGGTCCTCTGCAAGAGCAGCCAGTGCTTTTAACCCCTAGCCATGTCTCCAGCTCCCTAAAAAAAAAAAAAAAAAAAAAAAAAATTCTAAGATTTACTTTTATTTTTGATTATGTGTGTATATGTCTGTCTGTATGTGGGTTGTACATGTGAGTGCAGGTGCCCTCAGAGGCTGTCAGACTCCCTGAAGCTGGAGTTACAGGTAGTTGTGCTGAGAACCAAACTCAGGTCCTCCGCAAGAGCAGTATATGCTCTTAACCACTATGCAACTCTCTTACCTACTGTCCATTATTTTAAAAAATACTTTTAAGTCAAGTGTGATGGGCTATGACCTGTAATCCCAGCACTCAGGAGGCAGGAAGAGTGCAAGTTTGAGGCCAGTGTGGCAAAACTTAGCCCCCAAAAGCAAACTAGGATCTGGAGACATATCTCAGTGGCAGAGTGCTTGCCTAGGCCCTAGGGTCTATCCCTAGCACAGGAAAAACTCCGAACACAAATAACAGTTTTTGAAACAAGTAATGACTTCCATGGTTAATTTTAGCAAATAAAGACATCAACAACAGCAGCACCCAACTTAATGAAAATTACTTGGTAATCACTGTCTTTTCTTTCTTTGGTGTTTTTGTGATACTAGGGACTAAATCCAGAGCCTTGCTCTTACTAAGGAGATACTGACTGAGCTACATCTCAAGCCCCCTCCCTTTTAAAAATACTTTAATACAGAGTCTTGCTAAGTTGCTTAGGCTGATCTAGACTGTGCCAATGTGCCATCCTCCAGCCTCAGCCTCTGGAATAGCTGTGTCTGTTTCCTTAAGAGCTTTTGACAAAAAGATGAGTGACTTTTATTTCCTTTAAATGAATAAATGTAATCAATGCCATGTATAATCTCACCTCAAAATAGCTATTACCCATTACAGCCACTCCAGACATTTTTCCCTTTTGTCTAAGTCAAAGGATTGACATATTTTATCAAATGGGAAGACATGTGTTTTAATTTTAAAAGACAAAGTTATGTTTACCTTAAATTTAACAGAAGAAATATTGAAGTGAAACTAAAGTACTGAAATTGAGATAAACACTATTTTACCACAGGAGAAATTTCCTTTGAAGAAAAATAAAAGAAGGAGTCTTCAAAGTTCTGTCAAGTCTGCTGGCTATGGTGGCTGGCACCACCCTTCTGGATTCTGGAGACTCGAGATTCAGTTAGTTTTCATCTTTAACCACTCCTGCTTAGTTCTTTGCAAGTGATCTGCTGTCGGCATTGAGTTGCTCTGGCACTGTGTCCTGCTTATCATAGTTGTCACTTAGAATTTATGCATGCCAACCAATGCCCTGTGCTGTTCCTGTCAACCCATGTGATCATGACAGTCTATTGCTGGAATCTTCTCGGCTTGTTCTTGTTTGGTGTTTGATTTTTCATCTATAAACCAGACCTCTTGCAGGCCATTTTGGGAACATATTTTCTAGGCAAGTTGAATTTTTTCCCCACTGGCTGACATTTTCTAAAATATATGCCTAAAATTAAAGTTAGTGAAAACATGAAGCCTGGAGTTCTGTTCTTCTAACTCTGCTTCAGTTTTAGGCAGCACCATTTCCTGGACTCAGAATGGAAGAAATAAGCTCACGTTCTAGCTCACTGAATTTTTTGGAATTCTCTTACTTTGCTAAGGTGTATACTATTTAGAGAGTACTATGTATTTACAATTCTATTTCTGTTTGAGCTTAAATACATATTTATACACGTTCATTATCTACATCGTCCTTTTATTGAGTTTTCCCATGCATCTTTCATTTCCTTGGGAATTGCTTAATAAGTAACAGTGCATGTAAATAGCCAGGTGCTGTACTCTGAGTTCTTCTGCGGTCCAGACAGGTTTTGAGCCTTCAGTCCTGGCTAAAAGAGGTTTTTCTGTTTATTTTTGCAGTGCTGGGAACTGAGCCCAGGGCGTTGTTCATGTAGGCTGGTACTCTCCCACTATTCCACACTCCCATGCTTCTTACATGTTATTTGCCCCATAAAAGTGGACAAATTTAATATTTTCAGGCCATACGTCTTTTCCTAAAACATTTTAGGCATTGTCCCACTGTATTTTAACATTAAATCTTAAGTATTTTTTAAGTATCTGGGCATGATCATACATAATTGCATACAACAGAGCATCCATAGTATTAAAGAATGGTAATTTTGTTGACTATGATAATGAAATTGTAGCTATAGTACTATCCTTATGTAATATATATATATATAAAACTTCTGAACTATTCACAAGTGAAATGAATATTAAAAATTTGCTGTTAAAATGTTATAACAGAACTGGGTCTATAGCTCAGTGGTGTACATGCTTAGCTTGTGTGTCCCTAGTTCAGTCCACACACCGCAAATGAGAAAAATAAATTTCCATAGTTTTAAAAAATAAAGTGAGCATGTGAGCGAATACGAAAATAGATACCCCAAGAAAATGGCATCTGTTGTCACTTGCAGGGGAGGTCTCCACCACACGGAGGCTAGCGAGCAGCAGAATAGTGCCTTGTAATTAGGGTAGCAGTCTCAAGATGTGTGCTTCAGAAAGACAATTCACTCAAGCCCTCAGTGGAATAATACCTTTCTCACTGGAGAAGAAACACAGCAAGATAAGCTTTTGGTGAACATGGGTCCCTCAAGACCATCAGTCCCCCATGATCATTAGGTCCCCAAGACTCCAAGACTATACTATGTTGGGTATTGAATCCCTATGGTCATCAGATTCCAGCCTGCACCAGTGTAGCCAGTACAGGGCGATTATCTGTATCCACCCTTCCTGTCTTGTAGGCCGATGATGTCTCCCCACAAGGAGCAGATGTACCATATCACACATATGCTGAAATAGTGTACATTGTGTGTGAAACAGAAAGCTACTACCACACAAGGTTGAAAGCCTAGCAAGGGTTCTTTATCACTGGATAAGGAAGTGTTCCAGTCCTAAGTCCCATTTTTGTTTGTTTTGAGACAGGATCTCTCCATATACAGCAGGCTGACCTCTCTTAGTGCAATCATCCTGCCTCTGCCTCTCAAGCGCTGGAATTACAGGCTTTTGTCACCATGCCTCATTAATACCAAGGCCTAGTCTGATGTATCAAAGTATAGCACTGCATAAAATTGACTGCCTTTCTGAACAAGGTTTAAAAAAAGTGAAAAGATCAGCAGGAAATACTAATTAATCTGAATAATGAGCATAAGGTAGTATACACAATTGCATACTCTTCTTGTTTGGGTTCCAAAAGCCCCAACAAGCAAGAATTAGCCCCTTGTCCCCAGTATGCCAATTAAAGGGAATAGTAATGGCGAGGAGCACAAAGGTTTATTCAATGTGGCCACATTGGGAAGAGGAACAAATAAAGGGGTCGAGGGACCCCAAGTCGGTCTTCAGAGTACTGGCAGGAAGAACTGGGACAAGTGGCAAGAGTTTGAATAATTAAACAGCCCTGGTCAAGGTGTACTCCCACCCATTTCTGTCTCACTTTGAGTTCTGCAAGCCAATCCAAAGAAGACCCTATCACTATCATCACCATCATAATCATCGTCCCAATCACCATCACCATCACCATCACTATCCCCATCACCATCATCATCATCACTATCATGGCTTGGTCATCATCTGGTTCCTATAAGATGCTTCTGCTCCAGGACACAGCCTCCTCACTATCATTGATGATGGCCCTCATCATGGGGGGGGTGTCTTTCCTGCTGACATTTTATTCTTCCTGGAATCCAAGGTGACTGGTTTATGGCAGTGACTTATCTCTTCACATTTGAAGGGGAGATGGGAGTGGTTATAGAGACACTCCTAAGTTATTAACATGCCCTGTGTGCAGAGGTAAGCAAGTGACACAAGGTAAAGGAGACACAAAATGAAGGAAGAGATGCCAGACTTTGATCCTGTATTTAGTTGCCTTTTTGATTAAATTTGTTCTCTGATAATGTCACACATGCGTATGATGTATTCTGATTA